TCACGTAGGATGACTCATTTCTTCTTCCAAACCCCAAATGTTCTTTCAATTACCCCGCGTAAAGATGAGTGGCGTTTATTAAACATTTCCTTTCTGCCACGGATGGTGCCACTCGCTCTCTCAAAATCAAGAAGATGATATCTTGTGTCAGGATAGGGTTTTCAGGTATCCTCTTTGCATAGGAAGCCAACATCCACCAAATAATACTTCTCTGACAACTCATAGGATACCCGACATCAACCAGATAGTATTTTCCTAATACGAAAAACACTGTTAATAAAAAGATTACATGCTCAAATTAATAAATTACAAAGCAACACTAACCTGATGGGGGGTGAGGGAAACACTGCGATCTATTCCTAGTGGCAAATGAGAAAATCCGACTGTCATGTACCCTCCCTTCCCAGCCCGCCACTACAAAAGTAAAGCACATGTTGAAGTTGCATACAACCATGACATTCTGAGTTGTCGAACCACTCTGACCGATGTATGCAACCTTCTCGTGGTTGGGTATTCAGGCATCAACGTGTGTACCGTCAATTGCACCAATACAATTCTATTTGATTGTTTGTTAGATAGTAATTATATTATGAATCTTATGACAAGTTATAAAATAAAACCACTCGTAGTTACCTTGAAATATGGCATGTATCGAGGATAGTTGGCAATCTGTTCTGGAGTGGTAGCAAATGATGGATCCTCCGGTTTAATTATTTTAGTTACTAAGCTAACAAGAGTATGTATGCCTTTAGAAAAGTAACGACTAATTGTTTCAGAAGAATGCTGAAATCTTTCCATAGCTCCTCTAATTGATTCATTTTGTGGCAGAATGTACAGTGTTATAGCCAACACCTCCCTACACATCGTTCTAGAGGAACTCTGGAGGCCGTGATTTAGGCATAACTCGTGCAAAAAATCAATAAAAATAGGTGCTGTCATTCTGAAAATATTTCTGAACTTTATTGGATGACAAGAAAGCATTTCATCAACCCATTTATCTCCAACAAAGCTGGATGTCATGCGGGGAATGCGAACAGTTCTATTCCGGTAATAATCCAACAACAATATCGCAATGGCTTAAGGAAATGCCATTCTCTTACGACGCTTGCTGCGGATCCATTCTAAATGATATAAGATGTGAACATAATGAGTGCATAATAAGATATGACTACAACACTACCAATCAATTAAACTTCAAATATTAATTGCTGAAGTTCAGAACATATAATACACAACTTATAAATAAAGCTTCAACCACTAACATGTACATTTAAAAATAAATGACTACATATGTAGAATGTCCAAACATATTAAAAAGATTACATGATTAGAAGTTCCAATCATTTAAAAAGAAAACGACATAAGTAGAAGTTCATATTACTGCAACAAATAAATATACAATCAATAAAAAAATATCATTCCTTTAGCGCCATGAAAATTTTCATTCGTGTTGAATCCTCAAATTTTTTCACACACTGTGCATGAAATCGTTTGTCGGTCACAACATTCACAACTTCAGAAATAATGCCCAAAAGCCTGAGACAGTCTAATATGTTAGCTTCAGATATTGGTGGAGCTGCAAAAGCTTCAATTAAACGATCGAAGGAGCTGTTTACAAAATTTTCCTTCTCTTTATTTTTTTTAGCAATCATTGACCTCTTTAAAATTGTACTGGACTCCCAGTTAATGCTTTGGACTTCTGGCTCAAGTGTGATCTCATCTGATATCCCTGTAAAACCGCTTTCAGTTGGGTTGAATGAAAACTTTCCCGTTGTGACAACCCATTTAAACATTATGTCCAATTTTTCTTCAAATTCCGGTTCTATTCCACACTGTTTGTACTTCTTTGCTGTCGGTACCGCCTGTGGTATAGCATTTAGAGGGGATATTTAGAAAATTATAATTAGAGAAAATAATTTGTGAAGTTAACAATTCATGAATTATATATAAATTTACCTCTAGTTTTTCAGCCCACCATTCAGCTGGAGCATCAATTGTCCTTTTAATCAAATCCCAACCCAGGCCGGTAGATCCACGTTTCAACTCCTTCAATATTTTACATTCCTTCTTCAACTGGTCCCATTTGTTTTAAAATTTAAGCCGGTGGTAATCCCTACCAGTCAATTATTTGAATCTCTTGC